GAGATCACCCAGGTAATCTCTGGAGATCCCTTCCAGCAATCTGCAAGCCTTAACACAGTGTTTCTTATACAAAGAGTTATTGACATTTAAGTTTAGGAACTTGGTAAAAAGAAAATCCTCAGCATTTCATTTTATTGAACATAAACACAATTGCCCTATGTCATGTTTCTTCTCAAAAACCTTAAATGGTTCTAGTGTTACAGGAAAATATCTGAAAACATTAAAGGCCTGTGATCCAGCTGTAAGGTTCAGTTTTAGACTTACTCTTTGCTCTAGCCAGTCTTTCCTATTCATCTTTCCCCAGATGTTTTACAAATGAGTACTCATCTTCGCATCTTTTATTACACCAATGTTGCTCTCGAAATGCCTTCCCTACTCTCCTCGTGTTTAAAACCTATCTTTCCAAGAGTAAATCTGTGTAGCAAATCTTGGCAAGCAATATATCAGGAAGTACCAAGAACCTTAAAACTGTTCCTAACTTTTACTGATTTCCTTCTTGGAATTTCATCTAAGGAAATCATCTAAAAAGCAAGCAAAGATTTACGCACAAGGCTGTCCTCTGTAGCATTGTTTATTTTTATTCTTTATTATAAAGAATTTAAGCATACTACAAAAGTAGAAAGACTAGTACAATGAACTTCCATATATGCCTCACCCAGATTCAGTAATTTATTGCCACGTTTGCTTCAACTAACCCCTTTTCCATTATAAAAAATCTCGCTTAAGTATTTTAAAGCAAATCCCAGATATCATGCCATTTCATCCAGACATAGTTTCACAGAAATTTCTGAAAAACATGGACATTTACTTATATAATGTCAGTATCATTCTTGGCAAAATGAACAATAACACCCAGTCCACAAGCAAATTTCCTCAATTTTCTTAAAATGTCCTTTTTCAGTTTGTTTATTCAAATCAGTATGCATCAAGATCCACATATGACATGTGGTTATAGGGGCTCTTATGTCTCTTTGAATCTAGAATGGACCGTCTTAATTACATTTTTTATGCCACTGACTTGCTGAAGAAACCAGGTCACTTGTCCTGTAGGATGAGCAGCATTCTAGATTTGTGTTTGTATCCATTAGGATAAGCTAGATTATACTGTGGTAACAAGCAATTCCAAAATCTCATTGGCTTAAAACAATGAAGCTTTATTTCTCACTCCTACTATATGTCCATCTTGGACTGAGTGGGAGCTCTGCCACATATTAAATAGCAGTCTCACTCCCAGACCCAGATAGATGATGTAGTTACTACATAAAACATTGTTGGTCATCATGGCAGATGAAGGAAAGAGCTCTAAAGGGTCTCATGTAGGCAATTAAATGCTCACCCTAGAAGTCAATTATTCTTCATCTCATTGGCCACAACTGGTCACATGCCACTACCCAAAGAAAAAAAGCCAGGAAGTATATCTTACCATGTGCAGGAAAAGCACAGATCTGGACATTTCAGTGAGAGGCATTAATGGCTACTAGTTTGTTTCCTTGTGGTATCATTTTACTTGTTCCTTTATCCCTGGAATTTCCTGAAAATGGAAGTTATTTCTAGAGTTTCATTAGATTCAGTTCGGTAATTTTGGCAAGAGTATTTCACAGGTTGATCTGTGTGCACCACACAGTATCACATCAGGAGGGGTACAGTGTTTGATTTCATTAATAGTAGATTGTAGCAGTAATAGCTCCCCCCACCCACCTCATTTGTTTATACCTCCTGTATTCACACCTTTGGGCAGACCCCTCTTGTTCTGACTCTGGGCTTGGCCACGTGACAGGATTTGGTAAACAAACAATAGCAAATCTGCTGGCAAGCAGAGGCTCCAGAAGTGTTTGTACATTGAGGCTTTCCCTTTCTTGCTACTTTTCAGAATGCTGAGACTACCATCTGAAGAAGCCTGGGCTAGCCTGCTGGAGGATGAGAAACAACTTAGAGCAGAGATGAATAGTCCCAGCTGAGGCCACCTAGACCAACTGACCTGCGAACCAAAAAACATGCGGGTGAAGTCATCCTAGATTCTCCAGATTACATGAGTTGCCAGCTGACCATAGACATAGCGAAGCAACAACCAGAAAAACTGCCAGCAGATGCACAGAACTGTGAGCAAATGAAATGGTTGCTTTAAGCAAGTATGTTTTGAAGCAGTTCGTAACAGAGCAAAGCTGATATACCGGTTAATTGACATTTAGTAGATCAGTAGATTCTGGTGGTAATAGCTGGATCCCTGCATTATAAAGTTCTCCATTAACCTTGCAATTAAGGTTTCATCCACTTCCCATGGAGTCCAATGAGGGTTTTGTTTGTTTTGTTCTTTTGTGTTCTTTCTCTTATATCAATATGAATTCATTTTTCAATATATTAAGAATGGTACTGATTAATTGTAGGATTTTTTTTTTCCTGCTCAAATTGCCCTGTTTTTGCCAAGAGTGCCTTCAGGTTGGCTTCTGATTCCTTTTGATATGATCTATTAGTCTTTACTTTCCGGCACAACAAAATGTCCCAGGCTCATCTTGTCTATTTCTTGTACCAGATTTGGAACCAACCATTCCTCTGAATAGCCTTGGCTTCCATTAATGGGAAAGATATACAGAGACCACAATTTGGGTATCTAATA